GACTTCTCTTGGTGAACCGACTACCAGGAAATCATCCACGACCTTGCAAATAGCAAGAGAAATATTACCTCCATCGCCGAACTTCATGAAGAGTTGTGGCATACCAGGGATGGGTACAATGTCTTGCCGAGACATCCAACCTTCTATGGTTAGCTGCCAGAGTCTTCCAGACTCGACGATTCCATAGGCGGGCTTAAGAAGTCGCCACAGAATCCCTCGGGCCGCCCAACCTTTTGGTGGTCGAACATAGATGTCTCGAGAAAGGTAACCTCCCTGCAGGTACGCACCCTTAATGTCGATTGTGGCTATGACCATGTTCAAGACGGCGGCGATGGACAACACCAGTCGGATCACTGGGAATTGTGCAGTTGCAGAATCCTTCCGGACACTCTCCTTATCTTTGTCGCGGTTGCCGTGAGGCACCATTCGACACTTCAGCCGGAGTTTGTCCTCTTCCCCATCGGTCTTCACTTGGAAGAAATGATGCGATGATATAATGTTGGCACCTCTAGGGATGGAACTCAACCTGACTTCTTCAAAGGCACCGTCGTAGTTATTCTTCTCTGCAGCTATGGCTTTGTCAAGCAGCCATCGGGGCACGAACTGCAGTTGAAATTCCGAAGCGGTTTTATCTCCGATGATCCCTTTTACTTGCCGCAGGACATCCTGCTCCATGGACTGGAGTTCAAACGGCAGCTCCGGGGGAGGCGTGACTCTCACCTCACCGATGTCTTTCTCAGGACGAGGTGGGTCAAACGGTTTGTTGAGAGTGCCCTGTTGCCTTGCCGGATCTGAAGGAGTGACTCCTTCATGCAGGGGTCTCTCAAGGTTGCGTGAGCTTGGAGACTTCTTAGTATTCGCAAAGAAGGCAGGCTGTTCTTCGAAGTACCTTGCGATATCTTCATCAGCATGTACTCTTGAGTCCTCTCCGTCTTTTCTGATCTCAAGAATGTCATCGTGTAGAGGAGGGTGGACGTCGTTTCCCTCTTCCGACGGAAAGCTTGCTGGGAGATCATCCTCGGTCGGCAAAACTTGGCTCCGGGACTCGGCGTTGTCGGTTTGATGCTGGTTCATCGCTACCTCAGTGTCATCCGTATCAACGACGGCGTACGACCGGGGGAAAACGTAACCAATCTGGTTCAGATCCAACAGCAAGGGTGACCGTGGAGCTATGCGCACATCCTCATACGCAGCCCGAATTGGCTTTCCACGATGTTCCGGGTTATTTGAGACAATAACCATGTGCGGCTCGACTGCACGTACATTCCCGGATTCCCATTTGCCAAACTTGACGTTGCGTTTGAAGTAGTAGACGAGGACGCCACGTCGAAGGTCTTCGGGAAGGACGGTGTTGGGTGACCGGCCCTTGTCAAGCATCAAGAGGGCCCGACGGGCAACTTGCTCTTCGTGAGCAGCGATTATTTGGTCGGTCACAACACTTTTTGGGAGTCCAGCGATGGAAGGAGTATAGCCCCTAGCGAGTTCAAAGCTGCTCATTCTCTTGCTACCGTACAGTATGTTGCTCACATATGTTGCACGGGAAAGAACGTCGGACTTCTCCACTTCCACGTTGCGAGTCTGCATGAAGAACTGTGCATCTTTGGTCATCCTTTGGGCTATCAACCGGACCACCGCATTCTTGCTCTTAACCACCCCAAGCTTGTTGTGTCTTCGAGCAGGACGGGGCTGGAATTTGACCCCTGCATACTGCAAAAAGCCCTTGAACACGGAGTTATTGAACTCAGGGTCAGATGATACAACAGCTGGAGGACCGTGTACATCACACCACTTGTTATCGAACACACGGGATGCCTCGTCCATCTCTCGTGTAGTCATGAGTGAGGTAACGGAAAGCCCGGTGTGTACGTCGACGATGTGGATTATGGGCTGATTACTCAGCTCTGTGATGTACATGTAGTCTAGCTGAACGTGGTCGTTGAAAGATGAGAGGAGCTTTCCGAAAGAGACCTTTCTCGAGTTGGAAGGTCTTCCGGTGCTCTTGCAAGACGTACATTTCGATGCAACAGTGGTGAGGGCTTGCCTAAGAACTGAGGAGAGGATAGATCCTCGTTTGCATAACTCGAGCATATCGTCAAGGGGCAAGTGGGAAGAGCCATGAAGCTTGAGCGCAAACCTCTTTGCCACCTTTCCGTCCATAAACTTGGTTCTTCCGAAACGATGCCCCATTTGCCTCGAAATGAGGGAGCGCAAAGATGCGAAGTACGTTTCGAAAGACGAAGTCTTTGAAGGTACCACGAACAAGTACGTTCTCTTGGCGTCTTTATCTTCCGGGGAGATTTGTTCACTATATGTCTGAAGCACGACCTCTTTCTGTGAGAGGCCGCACACTCCAGGTGGTATGACAAGGGCGTTCTCTGGTCCGAGCAATCTTGACTTGTGGAGCACTTCGTTGCCGAGAAGGAGGAAGCCAATTCCCTTTGTGACGTAGAACGGAATTGTTATGTTTGTCCCGTACATGTCCGTAACAGGCATATCCCATATGGCAGCCACAAGCTCGGCTTCGCTACACTCCATTCCATATCCGTGATAGAATGGTTTGCAATCGATAGGACGAATGGATAGCTTGATTCCCATTTTCACGCAGAGTGTAGCCGCGGATTGGATGCCGCCGACACTCCTCGGACAGCCATCGTCTAAAATTGGATTGGGGTCCTCACGTGAGGAGAAGACGTCGGACTTGGCTCCCCGCCTGGAAACGAGACTTAGTTGTCTCTGCGTCCCAGACGGGAGCCTGGCGTCCCAGACGGGAGCCTGGACGAAAAAAAACAGGAGATTTGTACTCGTTCCCAGTGGTTCTTCGTCTTTTCGCGTGATGGTCGGACGCTGAGCAGCGCAGATCACCACGGAGGTGTCCCTGCTCACCAGACTCCGCACAGGTGGTCCTGTAGGAGCGGGTTCCTACTTCTTCGTGAGGGCGCTTGCGTCTTCCTCTGGGCGGGTTCCGACTACGTCCACGAGCTCCATTGCGTACGACGTCATTATAGGCGAAGTTGTCGGATCCAGCTCCAGAAGCCTTATGCCCTACGGCGAGAAGTGCTTGTCGAACGTTGCGCTGCACGAGGCTTTCAACGTCCTTCATGCTCATCGAGGGACCTTGTGTTGACGTGAGGGTCAAGTTTCCAAGGACAGAAACGGCGTCATCTAAGTGAAGCTTGCAAGGCTTCGCCTTGGACAAGATGATACCCGCTACGGAATTATTAGGCGTTTCATCTTCCTGCGGATTGGTGTACAGTTTCTGAAATGCGTCCTGGATTTTCTTTCCTGTCCCTCGTGCTTGAGAGCGGTACTTACGGAGGGCATTCCGTAGACCATTTTCATCGTCTGTACGGAAGTACAACGGACCTTGGAGCTCTCCTGCGCTCTCAATAACAGACTTGAATTCGTCGAGATCTTTGGTGGAGAACGACCTCGTTGTTGGCGGATTCACTTCGACAGCCCGAGCTTCAGCCAACGAAATTTACTGCAGCTTGGCATTAGTCAGAGTGCCCTCTTCGAGGTTGGCATTGTTCAACAAAGTGATTGCCAGGACTTCACCAATCTGGGAAGACGTCGATGCGTTGGAATGCATAAGATGCTCCGCAGCCAGTCCTCGGAACCGTGACACGAAAACAGAGAGATCTTCGTTCTTCTTCCGGCGGCAGGTTGGTACCTTGTGAAACGAGTTTATCAGCCTTGATACCATAGCAATCGGGGGGTCAATGGCGATGAGATTCACAATGTCTCGAACGGCTGCGACTTGATCGTTTTGTTTAAAATCGATCGTTCTTGCTGCCTGTGCTTCGTCAACAATTGACTGTTGAGCACTGGGCAAGCCACGCTCATAGAGCTGGCGCCCAAGGGTGGCGTACACCGTGGCGTACACGCGATCCGTGCCACGCTCAGCGGCAGACTTTATAGGGTCTACCCAGCGAGCGATTTTCCGCCGCCAATCCTGAAGATCTCCATCCGGATAGAAGAAGGGAGGGTCTAAACGGCTCTCGCGATCGCGGGCCGAACCACTCCCTGGGCCCATAACTGTGGTAGGAATGTTAGTCTCGAGCGGAAGCTGAGGCTCGGTTTCCCTGAACGTGCGCAGCGGAGGGAGCAGAACGGAGGTGATCGAGCGAGGCGAAGCGAAAGGCCACAAAAGCCACCGGGGGTCTTGTCTCGTGAGTGCGTGAGTATCCCCCGGATTTCTAGTCCCTTTAATTTCCCCTTGATTTAAGTACCCGGTAAAATTCCCCTTTGTAATTTTGGGACCGGCGGCGCACCGCCGCGGACACTGCCAGTCGCTTAGGGCTAGCGCTGTCCTCGCTGTACAGTGCGCGAAACTGCAATAAATACACCCATCGACCACCACGGAAACAACACCTCCGATTGCCCTTTTAAAGCATCGCCCCACGTACAGTACCAGGACATCAAGGAATAAACATTTGTAGAGCCCGCCAGTTGTACGTGGACACGGTTTTGGAGTTAGCTCCGCAAAGTCGCGCGAAACTGGCATACATACGCGAAATACCATAAAGCACAGTACCTTTAGGGCGCCAAAACAGGACCGTAAAGCGCTATATAAGCCTCAAAACATCCCAACGTAAACTGCAACTGCTCCTTTACAATATCAATACAACTCAACTATCCAGAACAAAGAAGAAATGCCTCGGGGCCCCGCAATAACCGATCTTGAGCGTGGCCAGATCTTGGCTCTCCACAAGGAATGCATTTCATTCAGGAGCATTGCGGAAGCTGTCAATCGCTCCGTAGGAGCCGTACAGACTGTAGTTAGGCTGGGGTTTAAACACAAACATCCTAAACACTGGAAAGGAAATCAGAAGATCTCAGAGACGCAGAAGAGGGCTATAATTAGGATGGCTTTAAAAGGAGAGGAAAGCGCAAGAGGTATTCAGGCTGAGCTCAAACTGCCGATTGGGCACAGATGCGTCCAACAAATACTGAGCGCTGTGCCCTATCTCAAGTATAGAAAAATGATCACGGCACCACAGATGACCCCTCAGCATAAAGAGAATAGGGTCCAGTGGTGCCGTAGATTCATAAGCAAGGGTGAAGAGTTTTGGAATACTGTGGTCTTTAGCGATGAGAAAAAGTTCAATGGTGATGGTCCTGATGGTTTTGCCTCGTACTGGCATGATCTCCGCACCAAAGAGCGAATTTTTTCTAAGCGACAGAATGGGGGATTTTCGGTTATGGTGTGGGGTGCCATTAGTTTATATGGTGTTTCTCCTATTGTTTTTATGGATGGAAGACAGGATTCTACTAAGTATGTTGATGTTTTGCGCCACGGTTTACTGCCATTTAGCTCAGAGGTATTTGGGGAAGGGCAGGGTTGGGTGTTCCAGCAGGACAATGCCCCGATTCATACTTCAAATTTTACAAGAACTTGGCTCTCTGGCCATTCTATAAGGACTCTACCGTGGCCTCCTAAGTCCCCAGACATGAATATTATCGAGAATGTCTGGGGAGTCATGGCTAGAATGGTGTACGCAAGAGGCAGACATTATCAGAATGTTAGAGAGTTGAAGGATGCCATTGAAGAGGCTTGGTCTACAGTGGGGTCGGACCTTCTTTTAAAGCTGTACAAGAGCCTACCCCGTCGTATGCATGCTGTCATGGATGCGCGGGGTGGTGCAACAAAGTATTAAATGCTCCTTTATGTTTTGTGTCATATCATATTTCGCGTATTTATAACAATTGCGCTCGGGTTTTTAAAGATATCTCGACAGTGGTGCGCTGTATCTATATTCTTGATTGATATGCGTTATTATTGGCGCGTGTCAGACCCGCATTCGTAGCTGTTTGTGGACGGACTGGTCACGAAGTGTCAGATTGATCCTTGTCGATGGGTGTATTTATTACAGTTTCGCGCACTGTACAGTGCCCACGACACATTGTTATGTTGGGACTGGCCCTCAGACCCGTTCCTAATAAGTGACTCCCTGGGAGTATCCGCTACCTATTCTCCTCTCGCCGCTCCTATGCTCTCTCGAGACGATCCTTCTCCAACGTTCGCCTCTCTCTCCCCCTGATATCCTCTGCCGCTGCGCGTGACGAAATTCCGGCAGTGCTACTTACATCCTTGTTCACTCCCATTTCCCATAACACCCGGACCCCAAACATCCAACAAAAGTCCCGGTTTCAAGTTATTCACTTTCCCCCTCAACCAGTATCAAGCGGGCCCGAGCTCACGACGCAGGCGCTGAACCATTTAGAGCCTCATGCCGTCACACCAGCACACCGACCCGACTTTGATCTGTCCAAGATCCGGGGTTTCGTTGTCAAGTGTGTTTGACGTCAAAACTGACAAGTGCAAGAGGTGTGGACATCACCCGAACCACTACATCATTCGGAAGTGTGACAGGAATGCATGCATTCAGAAAAGGATGGTTGCATTCTGCACAGGCTGTACCCGTAACTGCTTGACATGCAATCAATGCCGCAACCCGTTGGACCGCTCGAGGCTCACGTAATAGTTCTCAAAACTTCTCTCCTCCCCTCCAGACTGATAAGCAAAGGGCAGCCAAACGTGAAAACTAGCACGCGACCAAGTAATGTATGTCTTGGAAGGTGCAATCGGCACCTTATCCCGCAATAAAAATCACTTTGGTCTTTCGATGATGTGCACCTTGGCCATGGGCTTGATTTGCGTAGAATTCTACTGTTGTTCGACTCGACCGGTTTCAGCAGACAGGGGGGCTCAATTTAGCAATGTCAATCGGTAGAAAGATTACATCCCTAAGGTGATGTAGAAATTGCAACAATCCGTCAGTTTTAACGTGTGGCAGATGCCAGTGTGCCAGATAAGTCCATGAATCGTTCAACTGTTGTACTCCCTACCCCCAAAGCCGCACCACACCAAGCCTTGTACACAAAGCGGGGATTGCTCATTTGAACAAGATGTCATGTAGTATATGCGGATGCATTCTCAGAACAGCCTGACCGAACGCAGATGGCCATTCAGAATGTAATTCTGGTCGCTTGGAGTTGTTAGCTCGTGCGATTCCGTGAAGCTTCAGGAGCCATCCCAACCGGTGCGCGATCTCGTACAGTTCCTCACATCGCTCCACTGGCTCGTATTCCCTCCACATCTCTAGATAGCACCGCCTCTCTTCTTCCGAGAGGTTTTGCTCTTCGTGTATTTCTCGCAAGTCAAAGAATGGGTGCGATATCGAAGCGAATTGCCAATCAAATACAACAAGCTGTTGCGACCCGTCTCCTCCTTTCTTCAGACCTAGGTTCCGACTGGCAAAATCCCCATGCGTGAGAGTAAGCGGTATGCTGTATTCCTGCAATCGTTCTATCTCTGCTTTCAGTTTCGGTGCAAATTTAGCATATACCCCCATGAGGTAATCTTGATCTTCAAATAGATCTTCGTCCACAATCCAAGAATCCACTGCATTGCACAGCTCTCGCGGGCCACGAACCTGGAATCCCCCGGCCTCGAGCTTCTCTAAATGATGCAACGAGTCCAACTGAAGTCTTCCTAAAAATCTCAGGCATTCCTTCTTGGTGATGCTCTGATCGCAATCTTTCATAACATTCAACTCCCTCGAAATCACGCTTTGTAGTTCATTCGATACGGAAACCACGTCTAACGTTCGGTCCGGCATCAATTTGCTTACACATGCTGTCATATCCACCTCTCCGGATCCCGGATCCGTACCTTTAAGAAAGTACTTACCAATGTTTGTTTCCACCGTCAAAATGGTGCATGCCGGGTCGAATCGGTATTGCCTGAATTTATCGCCTACTTCGCCTCCATCCGATGCGATGACAGCTTTCATCCACGTTAAAGCCTTCTCATGCCAACCATACCGAAACCGCGGCTGCCACAAAGCTGTCATGCTTGTGAGATCTTTCTCCAGAAATTGTGTGACTCTCTTTACAATTTTCGGACCACGGTCGTCCACATCCGAGTCCGTGTCGCGAGAAAAGGAGATATCATGCGCTCGAAGGAACTCGACATCCTGCCATTCCCAGCCGCATGGCAGCCCCGGAAGCTCTTGCAAGTTTTCCAACAGCAGCATTTTGGACGGTTGTATGCAGCGCTTCTCCTCAACAGTCTCAGGCAGGTACGCGCAAAAATCGCCAAGCAGTTCGGCTATCGCAACAAAACCCTGCACGGATTCATCTATACCAAAAATCTCTTGAACAGAAGAAATGATGGATCGCACGTTTGAATGAGAGAAGTCTTCACGGATGAAGTACGGTAAGTCCCATTCGCCACCCTCCGCACGCATCAAGAAGCGTTGTTCGTCCGGTTGACATATCAAAACACGATATATTGTTCTTCGGCAGGACATTAGCGTGCTTCTCGTCAAAAACACCACAGAGACTTTACCGGCGCAAAACCAAGCTCGTCACAGACACCGCCGCGTGAGCAAAGCAGAGTCACGCTACATACCAAGTGTACTCCCAATGCGTGATTGGACGTCCTCGTGGTTTTCAAATTTCAAAAGATTCATGGCATTATTGGTTAGTGGCGCCATCCTAAATACTGTACGTTACCGTTGGGTTACAGTAAATTTACGCCCAATTCAGCTCCCCTCAGAACGGACAGCTCCGGAAATCACAAAAGTTTCCTGCAGCACAAAATAGTCCACTCCCCGGACAGAATCGTTGTGCATATCTCTCATGGAGGCTCTCACCGAGTACGACGTCCGACATCGTACTCGTCCTGCCTGCCCCAGTTGTCCGAGGAATTCTCTCCTCCGCCCTTCTCTGGATAACCCTCTCTCGGCAGGATACTGTCATTCTCAGATCGAAATCTTTCCACTGTGAAAGGTTTTGGGTTGCTGAGCCCGACGCTCCTCTTCTTGCAGATCCGCGGATGTCTTGCGACTCCTACCATCTCGCTTTAAACAAGAGATGTCCCCAGCTCGCCCATCGCCGCCTCGAGCGTCAAGTTGCACAGCGGAAGGCTAATCACCCCCGCGCCGTTCCACTTCTCTTTGAGGGTGTGCAATGAGGAATAGCATCGATGGCACGTACGATACCAAGTTATGGTTGTCTACGTTCATGCGAAGGTGACCCTTCACGAGCACTGCCGTCTCCATCCGCAGGAGAAGGTGGTAGGTTCTTATGCGGAACTGCGTCCTCCCACATCCCCGGCCTTCCCGCCGCGTCGCAGCCGATAGATGGTATTGCTGCCAACAGCAGTCGACTAGACTGGACTCGTCTCGGTCCGATGGTATCGGCACTCCCAATAACGTCCACTCGTTGGCGTCCACCCCCTCGACTTGACTCCCGGCTCTCAATATATCGCTGTCTTGATTCCCATGCACTGCAATGCACACGCATGTGTCGAACGCATCCAGCGCCAAAGTGCGCCCCGACTTGTCCTCCTGGCCCTTTTGCCGTTGCAAAATTGCGTCCCTCCTCTCCACCATGTCCTGCTTCTCGCCTCCTCATCGTGCCGCTCCCTCCTCTCTCCTCTCCCTTCCCCGTGCCCCAAATACCCCTCACACGCCGCTGCCCACCCCACTTTGTCGACACTCACCACTTGCGTGCGGCCCCTGCCCTCCACGTCCCAAACTCGTATCGCCCTCAAGTCCGATGACACAACCCATGTCCTGTATTCATTCATTGCCACACGCTGCAGCTGTCCCGAGTGTCCTGATAGAGCCTGGCATGTGGCTCAGGACCCACATGCCCACCACTCTCCAAGCCCCACACGCGAACCGTTGTATCAAACGATCCAGATGCCGCCCGCCGTCCATCCGCGCTCATCGCAACACTCCACACCACACTCGTGTTCCGTCCCGCTCTCCACGTCCTACGCCCGCACCGTCTTGTCTTCTGAGCCCGAGACTGCATACCTGTCCGTCGCGCTGAGCGTTACGCAATTTATATCACGGGAATGCCCGACCATTGCTTTCCTCACTTGCCGTCCGCTTTCCACGTCCCACCCACGCACAGTCTTGTCATATGACCCAGAAACTCCTCGGCTTCTGTCCTCATTCATCGCAACACTCCGCACCCAGTCGTCATGGCCCGGTAACACCTCTGTTATCTTTCCCATCTCTCCCAGGTCCCACACCCGCATCCTGCCGTCCCGCAAACCCGAAATCGCTCTCTTACCGTCTTCACTCACTCCCAAACGCATCACACCTCATTTTGTTCCACCCATCCCCTCTCCAACTTGTTGTCCCGTCTCCACCTCCATCCTTCGTATCGATCCATCCCCCCATCCTGCCACCGCCGTTTTCCCATCCCCACTCATCCCAACCCTCTCCACTTGCGCACCGTTCTCATCTACCCCATTTTCTAATTCCTTCTGCGTCCTCGTGTTTCACAACTTCACCGTGCTGTCCGCACCTCCCGATACGACATGCCTCCCATCTTCACTCATCGCAACGCTCGAGACACCTCCTTTGAGTCCCGTGACCCGACCGATTCGCCTTCCCTTTTCTGCCTCCCACAACTCCAAGTGCTCATTTGCATAACCAGAGTGCCTGGGCACTGCTGATTCCACGCTTTAAGCGCCTTGTCACCATGCATCCCGGACAGAGCCCATGTTCCGTCGGCATTCATTGTGACCCTGACCGGATGTGCCCAGTCGTGAATGGGGTCGCCGAGTTGTTTCTCCGTCTCCAGGTCCCAAATGAGCGTCTCCCTCCGCGACGCCCACATGGCTCGTCTCCCGTCCTCACTCATTGCCACGCTGTACACCAAAAGGCGTGTGCCCACGCATCGTTGGCCCAATCTGCGACCCCGTCTGCGCATCCCACAGTGTCATCAGGAATAGAGACCACTGTGCTTACACAGTGGCCCTGTAATGCTATGTGACAGACTTGACTAAAAGGTCCAGCCGTCGTCTCCTTGAGTCGACGACGGCTAGGCGTCTTACTCTCACAGATCATAGGTTATGGACCCTCACCCATTCCACTGCTAGTCAAACAAGCCTTATTGCTTCTCACGCCCGCGTCCGAGCTTAGCCCCGCATAATCATCGCGTTTGAGCCTCGCTCCACATCATCACCATCATCATCGCGTTCGAGCTTCACTCCGCCTCTTTTCCCCCTTTTTTCTCCCGTGCCCTAATCCCTCACAAACCTTGGCGTGATCCTCTTTCACGCACACGAACCAACAATTCACCATCCTGTCCAGTTCAAGGACTTGAGCCCTCGCACGAAACGCCGGCACTACCGGGACACAACAGATATCTGAGGAGACCTTTGGCGACAAGTCACACAAACTCAAACGCTACAGTCTTCAATTCAAACCATGTCGAACATCCAGCCCGGACAACAACCAAGCCAGACCCAGTCCGGCAACACCCTGGAAGCCCTTATTGGACTTCTTGCCCTTGCGTGGAAATTCACAGAAACAATACCGAGCCTCAACCGACACACATTCCACGCTTGGAGATGTGCACTCAAGCTTGTCCTCCGTCAAAGAGATCTCGAAATCCTCCTCACAGACGAATTTAACCTGGCTAATTATGTCGGTGAGGAACACACTTTCTACTCCAAAGCTTTGGCAAGCTGCAACACCATGATAATGTCTAGCTTAGAACCAGAAGTACTACAAATCATTCCCGCAGATACATTCACCGACACCCCCGCTACAATCACCAACGCACTACGAGATGCACTCGTGTCCAACGAGGATCTCACACACCGCGTATTCAAAGCTGAGGCAAAGGAGATCACCCTCGCCCAAGGCTCAAGCGTACAAGCGTTCGTCGAAAAGCATCGCACGCTGCGTGCGCGCATGATTGCAGCTAATTATCCAAAAATACAAGCAGAATCAACCACGGTCAATCTTATGCTCGACGGCCTTCAAGAAAACCCAAAGTTCTCTGCCCTAGTTCGTACAGCTAAATTCACCGGCGCACACTCGTCCATCAGTTCGTTGCACGCGTGTTTGCAGGACGTCCGTGACTTTGATGCCAAAAACTCCAACTTGGTCGGAGGCCCCATAGCTGGCTCATTCTCAATGGCTCCCGAAACACACAATCCCAGACTACATCGCGGGAGAGGCCGCGGACGCTACGGCAGATACCGGGGCAGCGACCGTTTTCCACGCTTCACTTTGGACCAGATCACTCAAATCGGGCAAGCGTTCAATTCAACAAACCAAAACCGTCCCCGACAACAATACCACAAAAGGGGCGGCAATCGACCTCATCGTGGGCGACAGCAGTCCCGCCGCACTACAGAAGCGCAAATCACTCAGACCACCCAACCCCTCCTGACCCCGGAGCAAATGCAACACCTGGCGCGTCAATTGGACAACGTCGGTCAAGAGCGGCAGCCCACACTCGACTGTACGTATCTTTTGGACTCCGGTGCACACCCCTCTCATATCAACCATTCTCTCCCGCACATGCGCAAACTTCGAAAGCCGCTAACCACAAATACGGCCACCTCATCTTCCTCGCGCACTACACATTCCGTGCAGCTTCGACTGACGACGAGCAAGAAAACTGAGCTTGTACTCCCTGCCGTATACAACCCCGATCTGCGCACAAACCTTCTTTCTGTTCACGACATTGCCGTCCGCCACGGTCCCGTGCTAATTCTACCCAACCAGGCAAACATACTCCACAAATATGACCACAACGTAGTCATCGGAGTGGCACCGTGGACAGGACGCGGCTACAGGTTAAAGCTCTCAGGCGGCACGCCTACCGCCTATGGCGCACGTACACGGCTTCTCCCCACACTAAAAGAAATCGTTCACCTCCAAATACGGCACGAGCCACAAATCCCTCCAAGGGTCGTATCTCTTCATCAGCAACACAACCACAATCTCCTTCTCCCCACAAACCTGTACACTTAGCTACTGTACATACCCGGCATCGTTCGCCCACGGACATTGAGAGAGCATTTCACGAGTGGCACCTTGTGTTCAACCACATCCAGCTTCCCACAATCAGCGCCATGGCTCGTGAAAGGCTCCTGTCTCTACCGCATATCCGCACCAACAAGCCGCCCAAATTAAGCTGCACCGGCTGCGCCCACGGAAAGCGGAGACCACAACCCCACCATCGGACTCACCACACGTACGACATCGGCATTGCTCTGTCATCTGATGTCTGCGGCACGATCACCGCTTCGTCCCTACAAGGCAACCAATACGTGATCATCTTTGTAGACACAGCATCCAGATACGCCTTCGCTTACTTCGCTCCAAACCGAACCCGCGTCCTTCCAGCTGTCGACACAGTCCTGCGCATTGTCACAAACACGCACGGCCGTCCCCCACGCCTATTTACAACCGACAATGCCAGGGAATACATTTCTAAAGCTGCCATGAACCTCTACAACCAGCTAGGCATCACCCCTAACCCCACAATCCCTTACAACCCACAACAGAACTCAATTGCCGAGCGTATCCTCGGTACTCTCATGGCGGCGACACGCTCCGCACTGTACCACAGTCAACTCCCACAGGTGTACTGGGAGTATGCCATGCGCGACGCAGTGTTTAAATACAACGTTACGCGCCACGCCTCAACCAAGCAACTCCCCTTCACAAAATGGTATGGACATTCACCGCCCCTCATCAACCTACACGGCTTTGGGCGAGTAGGTACTGTTCACGCCAAACGGGAATCAGCAAAGGTCAAAAAGCTAGACGCGCGTTCATACCCTGCAAGGTACCTATGCGCCAACAGCCTCCGACACATAACAGTGCTCAACCTCACAACCGGAAAACCACACCGCACTCGCACCGTCGACTTTGTGCCATACATTCCACACCAAGACCCCGTTCGCACCTCCTTCCACAACCAACCCACCGCCCGCCGCTGCACAGCTCGCCACCACACTCCAACAAATATTGTTGCCACTACCCCAGCCCCAACTTCTCACAAGCAAGCAAAATGCTACCCCGATGCACAAAAGTGGGCGGCCGCGCATGATTTGGAACTCGACAAACTCGATAACGCAAAAGTCGTCAGCTGGATACCAAACTACCGCCTTCCGAAACATGCCAAACTCATACCTCTCTTTATGAAATACAGATACAAACGAACACCATCCGGAATCTTGTTAGAACGGAAAGCCAGATGCACTGCGCGCGGTGACCGCATGGTCTCAAAAGTGCACTTCGATCCCGCCCATACCGCCGCACACACCGCTGATAAGGCTACAATTCGTCTGCTTCTCGCGCTATCCGCTGCCCATGGCCTTCACTTGGACCTTTGGACATTAAATCTGCTTTTGTCCACGAGAAATACGGCTTTAAAAAGCCTGTATATCTTAGGCAACACCTTCGATTTGACGGCTCAATGGCTCACCCTGGCTCCAAAGCTGGGATCCTTATCAAGAATATATACAGAACCCCATCAGGGGGATTCTACTACCTTCGCGGTGCAGTGGAGTGGCTGGATCTAATTGGCTTCTCGCAGTCTCAAGACGACCCTTGCCTCTTTCGCTTCCAACACACCGCCAATGAATACATCATCATAGCACTCACCATAGATGGCATCCTCGTCGCCGCCACCTCACGCCACCTCTTAGATTGGCTAGCCACCGCCCTCGCGGTCAAATATCCTGGCAACGTCAAACGCTTGGGATTCCCGTCCTCATACCTCGGATGGACAATTGAAAAACAGACAGACGGCGGCATCAAGATACCCCAGCCAAATTATGCGGCAAAGGCTCTATCTATGATGCGCATGACAGAATGTAACAGCCGCAATTCGCCACACGTGGATGGAGCGCAGTATCACGGGCCTTGTGAGGAGGACAAGCACATCCCAAAACAGAAAGGAAAGTACCAAGAAGTGTTGGGGGAGCTTCGGTATCTCACCGACTGTACAAGACCGGACCTCACGTTCGCGGTCAATCGCCTCAGCTGCGCAGCCCACGATCCGACGCAACGACATTGGAACATTTTAAAAAACTTGCTACGCTACATCCAAAGTACTCGGAATCTAGGCCTCGTGTACAGTCCTGTGAAACAAGAAAACCGTCATCATTTCAAGTCGTACGCTGATGCGGACTACGCTGGTCATACCAAGAACAGCAAGTCGATATCCGGCGAAATTCACTTCTACAACAACACGCCAGTAGCATGGGGTTCTCAAAAGCAGAAAGTCCAGGCCCTGTCCACTTGCGAGGCGGAATATATATCCGGATCTTCCGCCGTACAGTATACACAATGGTTTCGCAGGCTGTTTCAATTTCTTGGCCAGCCACAGGGACGTGTACCCGTCTATATGGACAACCTCTCTGCCATCAAGGTCGCTCAGAAGACCGCTTCTACAAAACGCCGCAAATTCAAAGACATCAAGCATCACTATCTGAGAGAACATATCAAACAAAATCACATCACTCTTCTGCACGTACCAACGCGCCATATGCTGGCAGACATCATGACAAAACCGCTGAGGAAACAGCTGTTTACAAACCTTCGCGACCGACTCAACATGCGCTGATGGCTTGCTCCCCACCACCATTGCACGAGGCGTGTCATCAGGAAGTTGCCGATTTGCAATGGCGGTAATCCACATATCACGCGCTTGTTGAGCCGGCTGCCCTGCCATCAGGAATAGAGACCACTGTGCTTACACAGTGGCCCTGTAATGCTATGTGACAGACTTGACTAAAAGGTCCAGCCGTCGTCTCCTTGAGTCGACGACGGCTAGGCGTCTTACTCTCACAGATCATACACAGCCGCACTGTACCATCGCACGACCCCGATAAAAGCCGACTGCCGTTGCCGTTCATCGCCAGGTTGAAGATCGCCAGGCTGAACATTCCGAACTCGTGTGCGGTGATTGGCTGCCCAACGATCCAATAGCACTAATATCTCTGCGAAAAGTATCAACCTGCC